CCCCCCCCCCCCCGCGAACGGGAACAAGCAACAACAACGGCATAGAGAGCATCCAGTGGGACTCCGAAAAGCCCTGGAGTCAGGCGGATCCAGGTTCATACTCCGACCGTGCGTTCCGACCGACTGCACAACAGCCACCGCGCCGCCGGCCGCTTATCTTGCCTCGTAGACCGACACAAGGGAGACACTGCACGCTCACACACACCGTTGACGAAAAACCAGACTCACGCACCGCAACCCGACCTGCCCTGCCGCCCCCGTTCGCCCAACATTCCCGACGACGACCGCAAGAAGCATCGGAGGGTCCGATAAACCCGGAGCGCCGCGACGCAAGCAAGGGCATGCCAGAGGCCGAGCGAGATCATCGCACGGGACGAAAGAGTAGAACGCGCGACCGTTCTGGTCCCGTCGCCCCCCGAGAAACAACAAACTGCCTTTCCACATCCTTGGGGACAAAAAAAATGATGCGCCCAGAATCGTTGCAGTTTTTACGCGCGCGGGGGGCGACGCAACTCATACGCCCATGAAAGGCTCGACAGGGCCCACGACATACTGCAGAACGCGACCCCACTTACCCCCAACCCAACCTACATTTCCCCGAGGATCACTCTTATTTCTTTCTTCCTCTGCGGGGTAACCGAACAGTGACTGCACATATAGCTATTAGTGTAGGAAAATAACTGAGAACTCTGTTGCCGTGGTCAAGCCCTTAAATTTCTGTTCTCTTCTTAATGATTTCGTTAACCTTGAGTGTCGAACCACAGAATCTTTAGGCGGCGGCGCGTTCTGTAGGTGCGCCAGTACGAAATCTGTCCGCGTACCGACGGAGGGACGGAAATTCCGGCAGGGTGGTTCGCTGCTGATCAACCACATTTCCGAACCAAAACAAAAAATGCACGAAACGAAACGTTCCAAGAAAGAGAAAAATAGAAAATAGTACGTAGTCGCAGCTTTTTGCAGATGCGCCAGACACAACAACTGAACACCTGTCAGCGGGGGACCCCTTCCCTTCCCCCAGCTGTGTGTCTCCAGCTTCCACACCCAGAGGGGGCTCCGTGAATCGCCAAAATACCGCGAGGGACTTGCCCCCTCGCCTCCGCCACCCCGGGCCTCCCCATCAACTTCTCTGAAACACAAAACAGCAAGGCTGCTCTTTGCTGGAGGGAGGGTCTCTGCCCAATCAACGAATCACAACCACAACAACTACGACCGTGACAACACTTTCCTCAACGAGCGAAGACAGGGTGGTGGTTCCTGTCTTCGTAAGGGGAAAGGGGGTTGTTACTGGGTCTTGTTCTTGTTGGCCTGCTGCACTTGCTCCTTCAAGTTTCCTGCATATCGCCCGAGTAGGGGCAACATCGCAAAACAGTTGCGGCGGGCGAGGGAGGAGGGGCGGTTGAACAACCGGAGGAGGCGTTGTACATGAACGACGGCCAGCAAGATGATGCGGCGACAAAACGGATGTTCGGATCATCCAGCAACCGCGAGACACTGCTGTACATGCATGGTGTGCGACCTGGCCTACAGTGCGTGTGCTCAAGAAATAACCGAAACCGTTACATCGGTCACAAAACAAACGTCCAGCCTTGCAACGGGGCGTGCGTGTGCGAGATGCCAAAACAAATGATCCACCTTCTTCCTGCCGAGAGAAGAGTCCACACACGCAGCATGGCTCTCTCGATGGTGAGAGAGAGTGGTTTCATCTCTCACCCATGGGGATAGACGTGATCGACTGAACCGGCTGCATTCACGCTCATGCGTTCACGAAAAAAAATGGGGAAACAGACCCGACAACGCTGTCGTAATCGTTTGGTGCTCCCAACGTGAAAAAACCCGAGGCGGTGAGAGAGGGGGAGGGGCGACGCAACATGGCAATTACCACTTCGTATGCACCCACAACACATTGACCGTATCGACCTCCATTGCGACGGATCATGGTAAAGGGGGAGGGAAGCAGAAAAAACAAGCAGAGCAGACGTCAGAAAAAAAGCTACAAAACAAAACTGACATGCTGCTTGTAACGACCTCTTATGAGGCAGATCGTGGTAGGGGAGTGAAGCAGAACAAACAAGGAGAGCAGAGCAGACACCAGAGAGACAGAAGGCTACAAAACATAATGACACACTGCTCGTATCGACCTCTATGTTGAGACCGATCGTGTGGTGAGGAGGGGAGCAGAACCAACCAATAAGCAGAGCAGACATCAGAGAAAAAAAATAGGCTACAAAACATAATGACACGCTGCTCGTCTCGACCTCTATTTTGAGACCGATCGTGTGGTGAGGAGGGAAGCAGAACCAACAAACAAGCAGAGCAGGCGCCAGAGAGACAAAAGGTTACAAAAAATAATCGACAAAGCTGCTCGTATCAACCTCTAAGTCTACATTGAGACGGATCGTGTAGTGAGGAGGAGGGGAGCAGAACAACAAACAAGCAGACGCCAGAGGGCTACAAACGGCATGCTGCTCACCGACCAACACCGGAACGAGGTGGCCGAAGTGCTCAGCGACGCCCTTGAGCTTCTGCCGGAACATGACCAGCAGCACCACCACCATCGCGAAGTAGATGAACCCCAGCGCGTCGGACGTCTTGCGGCACGAGTCCGACCATCTGCCAACGGAAGGAGAAAAAAGGGGAAGACAAAACAACGGCACACGCACAAAGGGTACCCTAAACTTACACCACACACGGGAATCGACCGCAACTAGTGTTAGATCGGTACGGATAGATGCAGGTACTGAGCAGAGAGATCGGAACCGTTCAATCTGAAGACAACAACTAAAGCAACTATCCACCACCAGCAGCATTCTAGAACCTGCCATGTACAGAAAAACAAGCTCCAAAAACAGAGAGTTGAGAGTTAACGAATGTGGCCTCGAGAACTGGCGCGCGCAGGCACGGGGCCCCACAAAAAAAAAAAGTCGTAAAGATCGATATTGCGGTACCCCATACAGGATAAAAAGTAACGGGCCTCCGAGCAAATCAAGGGATTCTGTACACGCCCGTTTCGTTTGCCGCAAGAGGACGTGAAACTCGGAAGACAACGCCCGAAGTGCGGGGGGGTGCCGGTTTTTTAGGGTCTTCTGCCCATGGACGCGTCGCCGGCTAAGGATGGCAGAGTCAGCAGCAGCAGCAGCAGCAGCAGCAGCGAACATCTACAAGAAAACCACAAGAGTTGGAGCAAGGTCATTTGCTTCTCGGCATGCGCTCGGCTTCACAGTCGCAGACCACACGTGTGGCAAAACAGCCAAGTGAAATATGCTACCGACTCGGACGCCTCCGCATGAGCTAAAGAACGCCGTTCTGTTCTAGGGGACAGGGGACAGGGGACAGGGGACGGGAGCGGGTGGTGTGGGGCATACGTGCTTCGACGCCGGGAAAGCTAAATTTGCAACGGACGGACGGGCCTAGCCCAACCGACCCACGTACCGATCGGAGGCTTCAATAGAAACGACGTATGGAAACATGTCAACCGCTCATGGCGGGCATGGTCTACTACACAAACAATCTTCAAGCCTGTTACTGCGAAAACAGACCCCCCCCCAAAAAAAAAACGCACTACCGCAGCAGATAAACATGCGGAGTAGCTCAGGGTCGCGATCTTGGGCTGCCTCGCAAACAAACAGACAAGACACACACAGAAAGTACTTACGCGGAGCAGCTCAGGTCCGCGATCCACCGAGCGACGTAGGAAGCGAAAGCGATCATCATCGGGATCACCCAGAACTCGGTGCCGCGGAAGGGATTTCTGCCCGCGTTAGCCTCGGCATACCTGGGGCCGCCGCGTGCAAGCATTTGTTGTATTGTTTTGGTTTCCATGGGGTTTGTTGGTGGTGGTGAGGGGTCACAACAGACAGCAAATACACCAAAATGAAGACGTACGCCATACCCCACCGAACAAAACACGGACGTGTGAAGTCTGTTTCGACGACGGTCGTCTACCCGGATGTGTCGCCTGATTGCGTCAATGCCGTGCTCCGCAACGCGAACGAAAAAGGAGCACCCCCGACCAGCTCAAGAGCAACTGCCTGGTCGACACGAATCGCACGTAGTTACGAGAGCACAGCAAAGTATCCAAAACACATGCTGTGCCCCCGGAAGCCACACGCATGTCGCCCGTTTGGGGATGCGAATGGCGATGACGCCGGGTGAGAGAGGTGGTGTGCTGTAATGGACCCCAAGACCGCCAACACAACGTTTACACATGTCGCCGTGAGAGAGAGCATCCCCCAGCAAAACAAGGCATGCCTGCCGCAATAGACGTCATGCGCTACATACTTGAGACTACCGCGGTGAGATGCAGCATGGCCCGCCAGGACCAAAATTCCGCAAGGCGAACGATGAACCGTCTTGACCAACCAAATTCTCTAGATATATCTAAGTGCATTCGAAAACTCTTCTTTTGAGAACACCGAGGGGGCACACGGATTGGGAGGCTGGATGCACAACTGCGATAAATGTTGTGGATGTGATGGGCGAGAGGAAGTGGGTACGGTGCACGCCGTTGCAGTTAAAAAAAAAAACTTAACACGAGTGGGGGGACGCTTGTATACTATCCCCGGAAAAGGGGGGGCAATCTTTACTTTTCAGTCTGGGAACCCTGCTAATGCGGTACCATACAAGACTATTATAGTCCCTAGGATACAGAAGCAAACCGCGGAGCCCCAAAAAATGTGTGGAGGGAGGAAGCGACCGGCCGGAGGGCGTTGCACAACATCCTCGCACCTCCGCACCCCCTCCCAAGCACAAACACACAGGACAAGACTCTCACCGAATCTTGGCATCATCCAGCTCCTCGAGCAGGAGCGCTCGCACCCTCGACACCTCCGAGCGCCTGCCCATGGTGGCCATGGCGTCGAACACCCCGAGGCCCCCCTCCCGGCAGAGCCCCTCGTGCTCTTCGAAAGCGGGCGGGGACAGGTAGCCCGTGGCTTTGGGCCCCAGGAGGCGGTCCATTTCCGCC